CGTATCAATCATAGACTTAGCAGCTTTTTTACTAAACAAAAACAGAGCGTAACAGTTGATCCACACCTATCGGAACCACTTAACGTCAATGTTTGAGTACCTAAGGGATCGGTTGTCGCACCACTTTTGTTTTTAGTGTTTATTAATGGTTTCCATTTTTCTTTTGAATACACCGTTCAGATGAAACTATTTGCCGATGACTGTGTCGTGTATACCGTTGTACACAACACAGACGACCAAGTTATACTTAACAATGCATTGCAGAGAATTTATGCTTGGTGTAATAGTTGGGGCGTGAAATTAAACACATTGAAAGCTTATTTCATTTCATCCACAAATAAGACAAACTCCCTTAACTTTACATATACAATAGAAAACTAAATCATCACCAAACATAAACTGGAAACCACATGCTTTGGCCATGTGTCAGAAAGCGGGAAACAAACTATCTTTTCTAAGGAGAAAATTGCACACTGCGTCACTACATGTTAAGCAGAATACACACAAACACTAATTAGAGCATGGTTAGTGTACATCAGTCTCATCTCGAGTCCACATCAAAGGCACCTCGTCAGTAACATATAGCGAAGGCGGAAACGGGTGGTTAGGTTCGTATATTCAGATTTCTCTAGGCAGTCTAGTTCTACCGGCTTGCTCGCAAGGGTAAACTTTAAACCTTATTTTACCACGCAGAATAATATCACGACTAAAGTTCATTTACCAGTTATATCGTAGTCACTTCCGCATGTCACGTTCTCATTACCTGCGAGACCCGCCTGGACACTCGTTGTGACTAAAACATTGTGAAGCAATCTACCGACTATTAAGTCGTGTTGATGCTCCCAACCATTCCGTCGGATATTCACTGCTTGAATAGATTAGATGTAATATTGTGTGCTGTAACACCATCGAATCATCCAGGAACCTTGCACAGTGTGTAAAATTTGAGATTATCTTGTCCTTTCGTGCATATATTTTCTTGCGCCGCTTTCTGCAATATATATATAATATATATATATATATATATATATATATATATGTGACGCTATGTTGTATTGGCGACGTGGCCTGGCTCATACGCCATGTTTATTCCATTTCACTTCTTCCTTCTCGACCTCTACTAACCATCACTTCATACGCCACACGATTCCCCCTCCCCCCGAAAGAAGGCATGGATTACGCACAACAAAAAGTAAACAAGGCAAGCTGGAGAAGTCACAAATGTCAAAATGCACAATTGGTTTCATGGCCCCGTGGTGTTCCGTAAACTCGCAAAACTTCAGAAAAGAGTACAGCAGCCCGGTAAATGGGGGAGTTCTGGTGGGCAAGGTTGGCTGTGGCGTTCTGGAGAAGGTAACCGCGTCTTGCAAAACTGCACTGACCGTGACGTGACTTGAGAAACTGCGAGGAACGAACAAGGTTGGAAGTCCTTGGAGCATTTTAAGGTCAAATGTCGTAGGCGCAGAATCCTCTGTCGTACGCGTTGTATTCTGTGTCGCGGCTGAGACAGAATTAGTGCTTGCAGCCTGCGTGTACAAGAACTGAAGTTCAAGGAATCATGTCTATGTTTGTGCATTGTACAAATTATAGCGTTCAGTCTATTTTGTAGTTTTCTGTGGCGTTGGCTCCGTTGTCGTGAACTAATGGGGTGGTGTCTGAATCTTTGCGTGGTAGAACTGGTGACTTCCTGTCTTGTTCGGTGTTTCCTGAGGTTTCGGGGCTGTAATCTTAGGCGCAGTCTTGATATTTTGTGCCAAATGCGTTTCTGGCGCCGATCCTTTATGCGAAGATGCCTGACGTCTTGAATTTGTTTTAAGAGGCTGACTTTGCGTCGTCGTCCTTGTCGGTGTATTCGTAGGAGTGTCTGCGACTCTTGGACTTGCTTTTGCTGGCGTTGCTGATGTTGCTGTGGAACGCATTGTGGTGAGATCCCTTCTTGAACATCGCGCTCGTTTTCTTCAGAACTTGATGTGGGGCCCAGTCGGCAGCTGGTAGTTAGTGGGCTGTTGTCATGCACTTCGGGCAATGAAGATAATGCTTCAGAATTGGTAGAAAGTTCTTCAGAAGCTTCGTCTACCCTGTTCACTATAAAAGGCTCTTGCGAATTGCAGCGTGCGACGTTCGATGCGTCGGAGCCTTCAGTGTTTCTTTCACTGTCGAGTGTGTATGAACTGGATGGCGATGCATGAACCCGTGTGGAAGGAGCATGGCTCGACAGGGTATTTTCCCGATGCGCCACGTCATCTACCATAAATACGGCGTCCACAAGGCAAATGGTGAGCGTTAGGAGCGCTTGATGCACCGCCTGATGAAAACCCAGGTGGTGGACCACGTATGCCAGACGGAGAGTGAACAGCATCAGGTGGTTGGGCAACGTCTCGGGTCATATGCTGAAGCGATGACTTTGCAAATGCCGACTTTCGTGCAGAAGGGAGGCGCGCTCGATGGCTTTGTTTTTCCCAAAATATGCGTTGTCGTCTGCCACTGAACTCGTGTGCCACTTCGTCTTTTGTGAGAGGTTGAATCTTGTTGTGCGTTCGAATAGTTGAAGACTGCCTGTAAAATTGATGACTGAGTGCAGTTGTCTGTGGATGGTGGGTTAGAAGCAAGTCTTCGTCGTAGTCGTCATCGTATTTTTTAAACCAAACGATCATTTCTTGTTTTATCTTTTGCCTAGACTCATCATTGTCGAACATGTGGGTGAGGTAAAATTTAAATGCCTCACCGGTGACGTAGTCGCTGAAGCTCGTAACAATTTCTCGTTCCGACCAAGATGCAGCGGTAGCGTGGAACTCGAATAGGTCGAACCAGTCCTGTACAGGTCCATCGTCCGCTGCTCCGGTGTACTTGGGGATGGGAAGGTTGGTCGATGGTTCTGTCATGGTGCTGGTCGCTGCGTGCGGCTAGGAGATGATTCCGTAGTCGATGTATGGTCAGGGCGTCTTGTGTAGAACTGCATCGATGATGAGACACTGATGAAGTGGCTGGGAGGTCTTTATCCTGTCGACTTGTGTGACGCTATGATGAATAGAAGACGTGGCCTGGCTCATAGGTCATGTTTATTCCATTTCACTTCTTCCTTCTCGACCTCTGCTAACCATCACTTGATACGTCACACACACACACACACACACACACACACACACACACACACACACACACACACACACACACACACACACACACACACTATATATATATATATATATATATATATATATATATATATATATATATATATAATATATATATATATATATATAAAAAAGTAGGCTAAAGGTAGGCTACCTAGCAGCCTGATATTCTAAATTCGTAAATAAGAGGGAGATGAGTCGGAGCTGAAAAAATTCGGCAGATCCTGCCGAACGTGGGAATCGATGTGACCCGAAGCAAGCGGCGGGAACGTGAACCGTGGTGTAAATGGCACTGTTGATACGTACAAATGCTGAAGAGCTGTGGCTGCTGTCTTAGCGACTTTCACTGTTGTTCACACTCTGCGACGTTGTGAGAAGTTACGTTGCCTAACAGCCCAATATTCCAAAGTCGTAGCGAATAATGACCAAGAGAGGAGCCCGAGCTACAAATTGGTGCCTGACATATGCGATGACACCGCGACGGCGTAAAAAAACTACAACAAAAGAAAACTTTATAACTGTTGAATACTACACACACATCATTTGCCACCTCAAAATATTCGAACACAAATTTATGCCGCTTAGAATATTTATCTAGCGGAACTATTTGCATGTCTGCATGTCAATGTGTGGGAAGATCTGCAGATGATGTTTTTTTCCTTTTATATTACCTGTTCGAATCCGCACTTGACTTCGCATTTGCTTCTCTGAAACGTCATGAACCTTGAATAGACTCGATGGTGTTATTCGACAACGTAATAAAAAAAAACGACCGCTTAAGTTTTTGATTCCGCACTGATTAAAATATGGAATAATATAATTTTGTGTATTGCGGTTATGCTACGTTGTAGTTGATTGAAGCGTTCAGGAGCAGTGGCAAGCTGAAACACTTGTTTGGATTTACACGTAGGCATATTTTCGAGACACGCTGTTAGGGCAGGAAATACACTGTTGCCTAGTTATACTTGGTCACATGATACACAATGACACGAAAAGGCACTTCTGTATAACGCGTGAACAATACAGAGTAAGCTTATATCAAAAGGAATCGAACAGACGGGTTCAATTCCGAAAATGGTATTGGCAGAAACTTTCGCAAGACCTTTCGCAAGAAACGTGCGCCACCTCGTCATGGGATGTGAGTCGGGAAGGAGGTTTTGGCGACACTAATTAGGGTCGTCTGTTCCCTTTTACACACACACACACACACACACACAAATAAAAAAATTACAGCATATACACGGAGTGAATGACGATGAGTGGGGTGAAGCTTCGGAGGGTTTTATCGGCAAACCGTAAATCCTCCGTTCGTCCGTCTGTCCCTCCGTCCGCACCTGCTGAGTGAGTCATAGAACTAGGCGGTCACGTACCAAGAAAGACATGAATGTACAGACCCACGGCTTAAGGAGCTTTGACCCTAAAACAATTCAAGCTAATGATGTGAGAGATACAAAAAGAACATAACATAAAATTGAACGTAATGTTCTCTTACGTATACCATTCAGTCATTAGTAAATCGCAATAACCTGATGTCCACTCAAGTAACAGCGTTGAAGTTCATCCAAAGGCTAGTCATACGGGCAGGTGCATTGGTTACACATGATGCTATGCATAAATGCCGGAAAAGTGCGTTTTTCATGGCTGCGGAATAAAAAGGCGCTCTTACGTTTAGGGCCGTTCTCAAGCTGTCGTAATTGTTAAGGAACGTCGTTTTTATACTACCGGTGTTTCACCAGGACACAATCAATCAATCAATCAATCAATCAATCAATCAATCAATCAATCAATCAATCAATCAATGAGCGTTATTTTAAGCATAATAATCAGCCTCCTTCAAGTGCTTGTGACGCTTCGCCCTGCCCCCAGAACTTACTGTACGAGCCCGAAATGGCGGCCAGACGACGCTACCGTGTCCGCTAGAGGCGAACCAGCCATCATCAAAACCAGCCAGCCTGGAAGTCCCTCCCGCAGTGTCCGAATTGCGCTGGACCAGGCTCGAGGACCCACCCTCCCGACGCACCGTGTACGTGGTGGACGGCGCCGAGGCCGGTGTATGGCAGGGCGAACACGTGGTGCGCCCAGACTGGCAGAGCCGCTCCTACTTCTCCATCCACAGCGACCCAGCGCTCCTCAAGATTGGCCGAGTGGCGCTCGCCGACAGCGGCACCTTCGTCTGCACGGTCACGTTCAATGACGGGCGCCGCGCCAACCGAACAGTGCACCTGAGAGTAATTCGGTAAGTCTGTCCTCTCTGCCAGTCCCGTTGCGATTAATTGAATGCATATAAAGCCGTTAATTAATGCCTCAGTCAGACATCGCCTCATTAACATGGTGTCGATGCAGGTAATACATTTTTTATGTTGTTAGCCCTCAGAATTGGACACAATATGATACGCGTTACATGAAAAAAGGTGGTGTGGAATTAGCGAACAGCATGTTGTTTCCATTTTGGAATGACCGACATACCATTGCACGGCGCTTTCACATCTTTGAAATCTTGCATGCACTTGTCCTTTCTACCAGACACAGCTGCATCACTCTACAGGCCGCACTAAGCGGAGTAAAATATTTTCAGGAAAAAAAAAACTGCTTGAACCTTGCGCACATTCGTTTATGGTACAAAAAAAAAAGTCGCAGATTCGCCGCAAGGGCGAAGCAATGAGTGCGATAGCAACAACTTGAAATGTAACGCTGACAACGGCAAGCAGATCGAAACGTGCATGCGCTGCTCACTCACAAATGACGCACAAAAACAACACATACAGGACGAGAGCCAACTAACAACATTTACAGCTCGACACTTAACGTGCTGTTTAAACACAGACGACGCACGAAACGTAATCACAGGCACATATATGAGTGTGAACTAACCAGTGTCCCAGATGTTACTTTGCTGTGTTTGAAAAGCGCGCTCCTTTCGCAAACGGGGCCAGTTCAGCGAGCGAAGTTACCGTTGTGCGCCCGCCAACTAAACGAAGTCGTTCCGGTCAAAGCCGAAGACGCGCAATTGTCCCCCACCACAGGATAAGTGCACGGGTAAGGCCCCCTTCTTTCCGGGAACATATAGTGTTTCTCAAAATTAACTAGAGGGCACTCTGGCGCTGCGATCGTTCAGCGACCATGGGAATGATGGGTATAGTACACACGTTTGCCTAGTCTTCGTACTTGCGGGCGGCGAATCGCACTTTCGGCTTCGTTTATTGCTGTGTTTCGATTTTGTTTTGAAAGAAAAGATTCAACCCTTTTGAACTTCGTGACCCGATTTTGAAAGGTAATTCGAAAAAAAAATAGGGCGGGGAAGCGCAATTGCTGAACATTTGCTGTTTTTTTTTGTTTTGTGAGAAGACAGCTTCAAGCCACACGAACACACACGGAGCCAAAAGCAGGCCAGAAGTACGAAGTTTAGACAAATGTGTGTACTACCCATCATTCCCATGCTCACTGAAGCAACGTGCGTTGCAGCACCCATAGACACTAGCGCCAGAGTTCCCTCTAGTGTATATTAGGAAACTCCGGGAAGGAAAGCACTCGTGGGACATGAGCGCGCATCAGCGCATCGCGACGAGCTGGGCGCCGACCTTGAAGCCGAGCTAAGCCGAGCGCTCTCATCGCCCCATATCGCTGGTAATGCTGAAAACATGCGATTTACTCCGTGGTAAATATAAATAGCTCGCCGTTCCAACTTTGAAGGAGGTGCGTCTTCGTGGCTCAGTAACTAACGCCACGCGCTCACAAATGAATAGTCGGACGTTCGATTCCGCGCGCAGGAGTGTTCTAGATTATTTTTCTTTCTTGCATTTTCATATATGTAGATACGTATACATATACATGTGAATGATGCCGACGCGGGGGGCAAAATCTAGCCGAGAGTGTCGATATAATTGCTATCGCAATAATAAAGAAGTTATTCATGCAGTATTATAGTTTCTTGGTGACGTCAGCCTCTATTACCGACGGAATAGTCATTGTGTTCATGTGCAAGAGTGCTATGCAAGACGGCTCGAGCTTCTCAGGAACGTGAGTTAGCTCCGAGCTCGCACTACGGCGGTCATGGCACGAGACAGTGCGGAGCGCATCATAACAGCGTTGATAAAAAAAGAACGCTCTACAAGAAAGAGAGGCGTCAAAAACGCAAGTGGGGGCGTTCGCAGTGGTTATCAAAGAAAGACACACCGCGTACGAACACGTCAGCGCCACCACTCATTCAACATTTCAACAGTGTAGCGACGTCAGCGTGATTATCGCGCTATCTTTTTGTCAACTAAATATCGCGCCTCCCACAGGCGTGTTCGCGGCGTTCGTCCTCTTTTGGGCAGGTTCTTTCGTTTCGCTTACAGCATCAAAATTTGGACTCTCGGTGGCAACAAGGGTGCGCACTCGTGCAGCTTGTTTCGCTTCTATCAGATATTTCAGGAGACCGCCAGGGGGCTCGAAGTAGTGCAGACGCGCTCGCTTCGCGCTCTGGATTCTCATGATTTTTAGTGGTGTTTTCCTTCTGCAACCACTCGAAAACGTTACTATCAGCTTCAAGAAGTTCCGAGGAACGCCTGGGCACCACTCAAGAGGATTTCTTGCCACTTGGAGGTGCCAAAGGACTTCAGAAAGCTCGTCACCCCTAGGACACTCACCAAACGCTGACCTGGGGAGCCGCCGGCAGCTGCACCGACGCTGGGGACGCCCGCGTCGGAGCTTCATCCAGCTATGGCTCTCAACGTGGTGACCGACAAACAATACCACATCCTAGACCAGGATGGTACAGCAGACGACCAAATGGATCAACTCCAGGGCGACCACGATACGGTGAGCCGAGACGCTATCGGCGCTCAATCGCATGCAGAAGAGGACGCTAGCTGGCAGGCAGCGAAATCCACCAAGAAACGCAAGCAAGAGGCACTGGAGCGGAGGCGCGGCAGCGCAGGGCTCCAGGACCAAGTTAAGACAGGCACGCCAACATTCAAGAAATTGCCAAAGCTACCGCCGTTGCCGAAGGACGATTACAAGATCGTCATTCGTCCAAACCAGGGCCTCCCGCTGAGAAACATTCTGACTCCTACGCTTGCGCAAGCAATCATCGAGGCATGCCAAGCTGGCATCAGAGATGACCATTTCATCTTTAGAATCAACCCAGGGTCAAACATAGCGATTCTGTCGACCAAATATGAGGAAGTGGCGGACAAAGTGCGTCTGATACGCGCCCTTGTGCTTAACGGCAGGGCTCACGCTGTCCGTGCCTACGCCGCAAATGGAGACGATACTCTGAGAGGGGTGATTCACGGCGTACCGATGAACACCTCAACCGAAACTCTCATGGCGCACCTACGTGTCAGAACGCACGGTGTGGAAATCATCACTGCCAGAATGATAGGCACAACGAAAAGCGCAGCCATTACATTTTTCGGTCCAACGCTACCTCGTACCGTCTACTATTACGGGGGTGAACTCTCCTGCTACCCCTTCCGACCTACGATTCAAGTCTGCAAGGTCTGCCGAGAAAAAGGACACCGCGCGGACGTTTGCCCGCATCCGGATCGCCCCACTTGCCGGCTGTGCGGACTGACTAATCCAACGGATGGACATCCGTGTTCTATTAGTTGCGCCTCGTGTGGGGAGGCTCACCCCACAGGAGATCCAACTTGCAAAAGAAGACTTAAGCCGCCGAAGCCTAAACAACCGCAAGTACAAGCAGGCTACAGTGATAAGCTTCAACAGGGCACTAGCAACGACCCACCGAGGACCAAGAATCTCCGCTGGTTCTCCTCCGAAGAGGAAGAAAACGCCTACAAGTCAGCCGATGACAAGCACAGTTCCCGGTCGCATTCACGGTCCCCGGGCAGAAAGCCGCACTCGCCATCCAAGAAGAGCGCGCCAGCACCGACTCAGCAGAACCTCCACCGCGGTCCTCCAGGAGGGGGAGCCAAAGGCAACGGCGGGGATCAAGGATGCACCCAACAGGCATCATCACTTCCGGTAAGCAGGGTGGAAGCCGTGGCTCCCAAGTCTGCATGTACTCCCCCCATCACACAAAACGTACACTATCAAGCAGTAATCGCTGAAAACAAACAGCTTAAGTAACGCCTTGACAAATACGAGAGCAAAATAATGTGGCTCGAAAAACAGCTGGCCCAATTAATGGGAGCCACCCCGAAAACTACAGTCCAGGCCTCTCAAAATCTAACTAGCCACCCAAGCGAAAAGCTACGGGACAATGGACACATCCAACCGCAATCGACACCACCACGAGATCCTGTAGCCAATATAGGAACAGAACAAACAGCGACAAACCTCACTTTACAACAACAACTGCAGCTAATGCAACAGCACATACTGCAGCAAACAGAAGCCCAAATGAAACAGTTCTTTGTCGAATTTCAAGACCTGAAGCGATACGTTCATGAAAGCCTCGACAAAGAAACGAAGCGTCGACGTAAGCAGAGCCAACCGCGGTCCCAGGAGTCTGACGCCAAAAGCATGCTTACCTCGGACGCTGAAAGCACACCCACCTCCTCGCATCATGGCAATTAACCGACGCATAGCAAACGAGAATCTCACTATATGGTCCTGGAACTGTCGTTCCCTGCACAACAAGCACGCTACACTCACTCTATACATAAAGGCGGCGCTGGTTCCTCCTGACGTAATCTGCTTGCAAGAGGTGGGAGCCAGGCCTAAAACAGTTTCTGGCTACAAACTGTACATGGATCCAAATACACCTAAGATTGCGACACTCGTCCGGAAAGAATTGGCAGCTACATGCATAACGGCACCGAACGAAGAGACGCAACACCTTATCGTAACGCTCTGGCCAGCGAAGAAAGGACGCCCGAGGCAGGTTATATGTAACATATACAGTCCCCCACAAGACAGAAAAGCAGAATTCAGCAATATCTTCCACTATTTGAACAAGCTTCAACCACGCGACCACTTGATCATCACTGGGGACTTCAACGCTTGGCACACCACATGGGGTTATAGCGCAGACAGACCCAAAGGTACGCGACTTTTAGAAGCGATACAGCGCTACGACTATACACTCCTCACGACACCGGGCATACCGACTCGTATAGGAAACAGTGCCAACAGGGACACCACTCCCGACCTTACCGTAACCAACAATGCCGCGACAATGCGCTGGAGTGTGCTGGACGACAATCTGGGCAGCGATCACAATATTGTGCAAATAACATATGAAACAGCTCGACTGCGACGCCCGCTCGGAAAAGCCAGACTG